GATATTTATATTACACTATACGGATCAAGGCTGATGTAGCAGTGAGAGCCGACAGCTATTTTACATATTCAACCTCATTATTGCTTTATCAATCTGAGGCTTGAACCAGTTTTACAGATATTATCCCTGATCTATCATTCATCGTTCCCGAAGTGAACATTCACTGTTACAGGAATAATGAATGAATGAATGAATACTTCTTGCTTGGTTGGTTCAATAAATTTAAAACTTTTTAAAATATAAATCTAACACTACCCTAAATTCACGTCTACCTAGCCTCCTGCCATTTCGATTGAGTCATCAAAACCAGACTCTACCCGGTGGTAGGCTTAGGCCTACGTGTGGATTGTACACAGAGCAAATCTGATGTAGCCTAGGCCTATCTATCTACTAGCCTGGTTGAGCCAAACGAAGAATTTGCCCTCCAAAACGATTCAAATAATTTATTAATTAAACAAGTTGTGAATAAAATCATCATAAATACTATTAGTCTAAATAGGTCTATAACACAAAATTTGTCTCAAAGTGTCGAAAATAAATAACAAAGGTTATAAAAACGCTGAAATATTGCTTACTTTTAATTCTAAATAGTCGGACATCTTGCTTGTTTCAAAATACAATCCCTTCTCGCACCAAATTGTGGGCATGCGCATTGATTCGGGAAGAGTGATGCATTTCGGGATACATTCAAATGACAGATCCCAGGCAACCAGACGCCTGTGGGTTTTTATATAAACTTTGAAAATGGAATCACTAAGTTATGTTACATTGAAAACAGCAAACCAAGCTAGGGAGGCGGTAGGTGATAGTCACTAGACTATTTACTTTGCAAGATGAATTGTATTGGATTCTGAGTATTATTACAGTGTCATAAATGCGATTAAAGTTAGGCCTAATCTGGGCCTAACTAGGCTAGCAAAAACAAAACTACCTCCTCCCAGCCCAGCAGCAGCAGGGAGGCCGCTGAATGAGTCTGAATAAGAAAAGACCCCGGCTACTCTATAGGCCTATGCCTACTAGCCTAAGCCTAGGCATATATAGTTAGGTAGGCTTAGGCCTAGGCCAGCCTGGGTATATAGGGCCTAACCACCCTATAGACATAGCCTACCCGAGTGCCAGTGATTATGGCTTTACTAACTAAGATGTATGTAGGCCTAGGCCTAGATCCAGAGATATGAGCATTTAAATATTATGTGTAAGAGAACCACATTTTGAGAAAATCGGCCTCCAAGATAAACCAACCTGTACAAATAATAGGACTAGAATTACAGAATATGTGCAGTGAACACTGTTTTAGTAAGAAAATTCACTTTCAAAGTATACAATCATTAAATATAAATATAAAGTTATTCAAAAACAAAACATTAAAATCAAAATTGTGTAAAATTTTGACTTTGACCTATTTTGGTGATTATCTCAAAATGATTTCACCAACGATGCGTCTCATTTCGTGGTCAGACCTCACATATCTTCTAAAGTGCTTTGGGCGATTGATAATTTCCTTTTCCTTCTTTTTTAAACATTTTTAATGCCAGCCCACCCCCTCCCTAATTCTGCCCCTGTACCGTATCTATGTATGATTCTCAGTAATGAATTTGAATTTTCCTAGCCAACCCTATAACCTTCTTTATCATTACAGAGATAGTGAGTGGCCCACAGGTACTGTACCTCACTCAGACACATCAAATTAATTATTAACCACTTGCTAAACTGATGACTAATAAAGTAAAGCGTTCGCTGCCCCTAGTTAGTAAATTTACCAGCACTATATTAATATTGCAGGAAGAACAAAGGACAGAACAGCGTAAACGAAACCTCCTTGTACTAGTACTTCATCATCTAGTAGATGCAGGGTACATAGAATCGGCCAAAGCACTAGAATCTGAAGGAAATCTGAGCTTCAGCAGGTTTGAAGTATGTGATAATATAGATCTACCTACCATTCTCATGGTAAGTATCAAGGCATTTTGAATAAATTTTCTTTGGAAAGAACAGGTAAAAAGTTCACACATTGATTATAACATAACCAAGTCAGTAACATCTTTCAAGGTTCAAAAGAACATTTATATCTCAAAAATAATAATAATAATACAAATATAATATAATAAATAACCAGCCAAGGTAGTGATTAGTAACATTATGTTTCAATAGGACTAGAATTGCAGAATATGCGCAGTGAACACTGTTTTAGTAAGAAAATTCACTTTCAAAGTATACAATCATTAAATATAAATATAAAGTTATTCAAAAACAAAACATTAAAATCCAAATTGTGTAAAATTTTGACTTTGACCTATTTTGGTGATTATCTCAAAATGATTTCACCAACGATGCGTCTCATTTCGTGGTCAGACCTCACATATCTTCTAAAGTATTTTGGGCGATTGATAATTTCCTTTTCCTTCTTTTTTAAACATTTTTAATGCCAGCCCACCCCCCTCCCTAATTCTGCCCCTGTACCGTATCTATGATTCTCAGTAATGAATTTGAATGTTCCTAGCCAACCCTATAACCTTCTTTATCATTACAGAGATAGTGAGTGGCCAACAGGTACTGTACCTCACTCAGACACATCAAATTAATTATTAACCTCTTGCTAAACTGATGACTAATAAAGTAAAGCGTTCGCTGCCCCTAGTTAGTAAATTTACCAGCACTATATTAATATTGCAGGAAGAACAAAGGACAGAACAGCGTAAACGAAACCTTCTTGTACTAGTACTTCATCATCTAGTAGATGCAGGGTACATAGAATCGGCCAAAGCACTAGAATCTGAAGGAAATCTGAGCTTCAGCAGGTTTGAAGTATGTGATAATATAGATCTACCTACCATTCTCATGGTAAGTATCAAGGCATTTTGAATAAATTTTCTTTGGAAAGAACAGGTAAAAAGTTCACACATTGATTATAACATAACCAAGTCAGATGGTACTCAGTAACATCTTTCAAGGTTCAAAAGAACATTTATATCTCAAAAATAATAATAATAATACAAATATAATATAATAAATAACCAGCCAAGGTAGTGATTAGTAACATTATGTTTCTATAGAAATTAATAAGTTTATCAATTTTCTTATTTTTTATCAACCATATAATTTCAAATTCATCCATGATGGATACTTACCATATTGACAATTTTCTTAATGTTGTTGGGATGGGCCTATATTTAGTAATTATAACCATTTTTTAGATTATTAGAACTCCTTATTTTGTTCCAAAATATTTTTCCATTTTAAGTTTCAAAGGTAAAAATATATATTTTGTGGTTAAGTATTTTGTAAAATGAGGCTTGTTGTGGCAAAATGGTTAAGTTGTCGCACAGTCCAGTATTGAGTAGATGAGCTATAAAATATGGGAGCTCAAAAAATTGCTAAAAAAGCCAAATTTGTTTTTCACTTTAGATCAACAGTTTAATGTCTCATTAATTATATCCCAAAGTATTAGTTCTGCAAGCTGTTTAACAAATTGTTTATTTAACGTTATTTTTCATAGTTCGTTCTATTAAACAGTGTATGCACAAATAACTTTGAAAGGCAATTACTCAAAATCCTGTTTATCTTGACTCTAAGAGTACTGTACTTTCACTTTCCAATAACTTAGGTTTGAAATGTTCAATTTGAATGAATGACCTCTCATTTTAAAGATCACATACTCAGGTATTTGAAAATACCAATAACTTGAATTTCAATTTTTGCTACAAGTTAGCCATTTTGCCACAACATGCCTCAAATGTGCTTCAGAGTTTGAAATATTATATCAATATACAAATTACAAAATTTGCTTCCATTGTATAGTAAAAATGGCAAAGATTAATTTTAAAAAGTATTTTTCTTAATCTTCCAATGTATTTTTTCATGATTGTTTACTTAATAAATAATTTCCATTATTACACATAGAATATCACAAAATAGTAGAACATGGTTAAATGAGGGTGCAGTGTACTGATGATGATAATTACCTTTATTTCTTATGATTTTTCTTGTTTTCTTATTTTTAGGAATATGAATCGTATTACTATGTAAAATTTGGAAAATATCCCAAAATAACCAAGAAATTGTCATCAGGTAAGTCAAAAGAAAGTCAACCTGGATTAACAAAATGCCAGTTGTCTGTACTGTACTGCCATTGTGATGTTTGAATTCTTATAAACTTTGTGCATTGATTATCAGATTATTTTCAGACTCATCAGATAATGTTTATATGTTAAGTAGAGTATTATCCAACTTACAACAGACATGGAAATAATTAAGATTTATTTGATCGGTTTTCTGAAGCCATATCAGATATATTTGGTCAAATAGTGTGTGTTAGGTCAGACAAGAAAGAAATCTCTTAATGTAATTTAGATCTGACAGAATGCTTCAATCTGTCAATCAATCAATCAATATTTCTATTTTTGATGTTGAGAGCCTGAAGTATAACTGCTCCCTCAGTATATAGAGTAGATATAAAAATACAGAAAACTCGACAAGGTTGTTGTTTCTTTGTAGGTGATATTCCTCAACAGAAAGGTGGAAGTGGGAGACGGTAAGTTCTATTTTACATACTAAAAAAGTTATAAGTGGATATTCATCATGTCATTATGAAAAATCCACATATTTTATGTCAAAATTGCACATTTCCTAATAATAATATATACAGATTTCTAAATTTATGCCCTGATTTGAAGCCTGGTTAATTATTTTAATGATTTTAGGATGAAAATTTATCTAAAATCTGATATTACACTGTTTTGAGGGTAGAAGTAGATTGGTACATAGCAGTATAATTGCAATTGCAGTGTCCTCCATTCATATTTCTGTACAAAGCCAGGCATAACTTCTTGGTACCTAACTGCTCCACTTCCCAGCCTCATGATGAGACTTTGTTTCTAGAGCATCGCTCTGTCCTGTAATCAGCGAATGTACATGCTTTTGAATGTGAAGAGGAAAGAATTGTGAAGACTGCCTCAATATATAAAATGTCATTTAATTTTCAGGAATCGAAAAGGCAGCACTCCAAGCCTTCCAAAAATCCCCCATGTTCCAGAGCCAAGGGATCAGGTTTCGTCAGGGAACTCTGCTTCACGGCGACGGCCAACTTCTTCCAACCCGGCGATGCGTAAGCAACAAAGTATTGAAAGGAAACCAAAGCCTGAGGTGAACGGCAAACCCCAACAGGTGAGAGTGCTTTGTACATCTTAAAGAAGCATTTGCCATGTGTTGTCTGTGTGAGCCTGGTATGTATGTATCTACAAACTCTATAGCCACATCCAACCCAGTGCAAGTTGGCACCAGCGAGCACAAGCAACAAGGAGTACGAGCAACATGACCCACCACCACTCACCCAGCCTTATTAAAGGAGAATTCTTTTATGGAGATTCCTATATGATCAACTTTGCTGAATAAGTTAACCTCAATCTTTATGTTATATTATCAAATGTGGAAATTCATCAAATTCCTTGATAATATACTCAGGTAATGATAACCCTGATTAACACATACTATTCTTACTAGGTAAATGGTAACATTGACCCCCTGTCTGACTTGGCTGTGTCTGGGTCAACTGTTGCCTCCCCTAAGGGCAATGATGCAGATGGACATAGAGGAAATTCTGGAAAACTTCCCCCTCGGAGGGGACCCATCATCGACATGAGGGCTATGTTGAACAATGCTGTGAAGGGGGCAACACAAGAGTATCTCACAGACTCTGATCCATCAGTAAGTAGAGTATGGGAGATAACATGGTACGGCATAGTGGTTAGAGTGGTTGAGTTCTAATAAAACAATCTGTTTGATAGTATATTTCATGATTCTTGAAAATGATCAAATAGATCGAAACATTGAATCTTCAAAATATCTCTATCTCTTTTTTTCGGATTACTGTGTTTTGTTATATTTAAAACTAATTAGTTCATCATCTATAATGTCTTCACATCATCATCAACCGAATCATTAATTGTCATAATTATTTCTCTATAGATAGACAGACAGACAGACAGACAGTTTATTCAATAAAATTCAAATAACTATATCTTTGCAGCAAAGCTAAACTGCGATGATATTCACAATAGTTAAATAAAAAGAAAAGAACAATAACATGCAACAAATTCACAGAAATGGACAAAACATAAATCAAAAGTAAAAGAAACATTCAATTTTTACCATTATTCAATTTACCGTTATTTATATTTATCCTTGCAGGAAAGATTATTAAAACCATTAGGCGGCTATGCCGGCTACTCTCTAGAGTGGCGTGAGTTAGCTCAGAGTATTAGCAAGGATATATACTTAAACAATCCTAATGTACGATGGGATGATATCATTGGTCTAGATGCAGCCAAACGTTTAGTCAAAGAATCTGTAGTGTACCCTATAAAGGTGAGAAATTTATTTATTCCTGAATTTTCTGTAAAGGATTGAATAAGTTCTGTCTGTGTCTTGTGATGGGATTGCCACTTTGAATAATGATTTAAGCCTTGTTCGCACTGGATTTAAAAAATGGTAAATTTTACCAAGGTAACTTTAACCAAAGTCATGGGTACATTTCACCATTGTTCGCACTTGGATTATTCACGTGGTTAGTTTTACCATAGTTTTACCAAGATTTAAACTTGTGTACAAAAAATATTATTGAGGGCACTAGTTTGTGACTTCAACTTCCGGTTTTGTTCGAGTGGTGTCAACATGGAAAAGTTTTAACCGTGTGCACGTTCGGATTGGACTTCTTGACCAGCGTGGTTAGTTTAACCGAGACCGTGGTAAGTTTTACTGGACAGGCTGAGGTCGGTAAAATTAACCATTCGGCTTGGTTAATTTAACCCTGAGGGAATTGTAACCGACGTTCGGATTGGATTTTTTTTGGTCAATTTAGCCAGTGACTCGGTTAATTTGACCAAATTAAGTCCAGTGCGATAGGGGCTTTAGTTCACTGTTTGGCATATCCTTGATCCTAGTGCCTAAAGCTGAATAAATAATATATGTAGAAAGGTATATTGAAACATAGACACAGACATGAAGATTAATGACAGGATTACCATAAGTGAACTCAATCACTGTCAAGTGGCTCTTTGAGGCTGATGAGGAAAGACATATACACTTTAAATAGACCAGTATTCAAAATGTAGCTAAAAATAATATTAACATACTAAAATGCTTTTAAGTCACTTCCTTAAATTAGATTGAAATATTATTATGCTGAGTTTATAAAGTGACAACAAGTTAATGAAATGATTTATTAATGTTTGGGTATATTACATGATAATTATTGTTGTCGTCATCGTTATTAACAGCATATCAACTATCAGTATTATTTCAAGTAGCTCCCCCTCCCATAATTGATTATTGTTATGACCAGTAATGGCTATCGTTTTGATAAAGATGTTTAATTAATGTTCCCAGTACCCACAACTCTTCACTGGAATACTGTCACCGTGGAAAGGTCTGTTATTATATGGTCCACCGGGCACAGGTAAAACACTGCTAGCTAAAGCCGTTGCCACAGAATGTAACACAACGTTCTTCAACATATCAGCATCTAGCATTGTGAGCAAGTGGCGAGGAGACTCAGAGAAACTAGTTAGGGTGAGTTAAGGTTTGAGGTTTAACTCATATTAAGGGCTGATGAATGTTTAACAAGGTCAGTGCTTCTCATGAATCATTTCCAGAATATATGAGAAAAAGGGAGATGTGCTGATATTACGATCAGGACCACTTCTTATCAATCTGATGTGTGTGTCCAGCTTTAGCAGATTGGTTGGTGGAAACAACTACAGCCCCCAACCAATTTCTAATTGGGTATTTAGAGACGTTATTCTACCAAGGTAATAGTGTCACACACACCTAAACCTTTCATTGTACTTCACCATCCTAGATGAATCACTCCATTAAGATCTCAGTGGCCTCTATACTCCATCAATAATCATATGCATCTTAGGCTAGGGAGGTTACTCTACTAAGATTATTGTCACATGGATATTTCTGACCTAAGATACCAGTACCAGTACAGAATACATGCTAGATAATCACATTGATTTTTGGTTAACTTTAGTCTTTAGATACATTAAAAAGCATGCTATAATGCTATGTCTGACTATCACCATAAACTTGTTTTTTGTTTTTTTTTAATCATTTTAGGTATTATTTGAACTAGCAAGATTTCATGCTCCATCCACAATATTTCTTGATGAATTGGAGTCCCTGATGAGTCAGAGGGGATCACTAGCTGGAGGGTCAGTATTTACACACCATGTACAATCAATAATGCTGAAGCAGTTTGGCACAGTGGAAATGATTTGGTTTCCCAACCTCAAGGTCAGGTTTTCAATCCTCAGCTGTGCATTTTGCTTCTGTCCTTGAGCAAGGTACTTTATCTACCTAGCTGTATCAATGGGTAGCAGCAAATTTCTGGGAGTAACCTGCGGTGGACCAGCGTCCCAGCCAGGGGGAATATTGCGCTCTCATCCGCTTCATGCTACAGAAACTGGGGATAAGCTCCAGCCCTATGGGCCCTAGTGGCTCGGCAAGGTTATTTTTTCAGTCAATAATTCTAGGATGTCAATTGTTTGCATGTAATACATAAGCAGAGCTACTTATTGTAAATGTGAATAGATATACAGTCATGCAATTGAATTGTAAAAATAGTGAGTTCCAAATCTGATGATAAAATGTTAATACTGTAATAACAATAATCCCGCCGATCCCTTTAGACGCTTAAACTATGATGGAAACTATCCCCTGCCAGATATTAACCTGGTATTTTTGTGTCAAAGTTCCAGGGCCAGAAATTACAAGGGTGGGCTTTAATAACTAAGTTCACTTAACTACAAAATGGTAAAAGACTATCATCCGTCGACACCAACCTGGTATTTCTTAGTCAAGGTTTAGGGGGCAATGTTAATAAATATAATATATTTTATTAATTTTTCAGAGAACATGAGGGCAGTAGGCGGATGAAAACAGAGCTCTTAGTACAAATGGATGGCCTAGCTAAATCTGATGATCTTGTATTTCTTCTAGCTGCATCAAATTTACCTTGGTAAACACAGTACTACTTATCTTTCTATATTGTCAACTTCCTGATAGAGAAATTAGAGAGGAAGAAACCTTAGACTTCACTTCCTTGCCACTTGTTATTTTCATAATTAAGTGGTTTCAATTGTTTCTGATTTTTTGTCAATTGAGCTGATTCATTCAGTCGTAATTCAGGGTTAAAATGGGTTGACCTTAGGGGTATGTTCACACATACGGCGTAAGACTGGCGTAGATCAAAGTAACTAATCTATTGCAATCGTGATTGGACAATCTCTTGAAATGAGGTCAAATCGTTCAAGCATCACTGGCGTTAGCTCCGTGGCATTAGCTAATCTTGGGTCTGCATGTAGCGTTAATAACGCCATGGAGGTGGGGTTGTGATTGGCATAAGTAACACCACTGCCTAGTTCAAACACAAAGGCGTACACTACACCAGCCTTACGCCATGTGTGTGGACATACCCTTAGGTAACTGAATGAAATCTGAATTAATCAGCTCAAATCTAGGTTTCACTAAAAAGTAAGTAATTCCATTCAGCGATGACATTTTGTTATTTTTTAAATAATGATTTTTATCAATGTTACATCATTTTCCTACTCAATTTTTATAGGGAATTAGACCATGCAATGTTGCGACGTTTAGAAAAGCGAATTTTAGTTGATTTGCCAACGACAGAAGCAAGAGAGAAAATGATTGAATTTCATCTGCCGTTAGTTCTTAATCCAGACTGTGTTTTGTCTATCAAAACTAACCTTGATTACATTGACTTAGCCGAAGTAAGTTTATTTAAAAATATGAATAGAGGTAAAGCAAAGATAATTGAAATGTACATTATGCATAAACATATAATTAAATTCATAATTCAATATATAATCGTAGCTGCTTTTGTTGATATGTGATAATGATGTTGTATATACATAGTAGTGGCAAAATTGAACAGGAATATAATATATAATTAGTCTTAAAAGTGCTTTACATGTATTGATAATTGTGTCAAATACCCTAAAAGTAATTTAGTTTTTTTTTAAATTTTATTAGAAAACAGAAGGATACTCGGGATCTGATTTGAAATTAGTCTGCAAAGAAGCCGCCATGAGGCCAGTAAGGAAGGTCTTTGATATACTGGAATCGGCCCAGATAGGTATGTTTTTCTTTTAAATTGAACATTTTCTCTGTCTTTTTTGGAATAGTTTGCCAATCCAACATGGACACCTGCATTAAGAACAACACCCTCATTATTCTGCCAGTCAATGGGTCTGTTTAGATATGCACGTAGGATTAAATGAGGCTATGTGCTTGAAATAGCCAATCAAAATGTGAATAGCTCAGGATGGTTATATTTAGACAGTTACATTTGCATCATTTCCATCTGTATATGAACATGGAGCATTATGTGGAATTAACAGGCATAGGTATTATTATTGGAATGACCAAATTACTAGATGTTGTGAGATAGGACTGCCGTTTAAGATGCATATTATATTCAATTATGTGGTTACTTTATTACAATGTGGCCTTTGACGTACATCTGCTATCTGCTTTATTAACAAAATAATGTATTAGAATCCCTAATCAATTAATACATCTACCTTGGATTGCATGCACTCAAAAATACTAGTTACCATTACTGTATGCATTCCCACATGCTTCTATTTTTAGAACTGATGTGCTAGCCTGCTCTTTTTCATCAAATGGGCCGCTCATATAACATAATTTTGGCTTATAAATAATTTACAGTAATTTATAATAATTTCACGCTATAAAAATATATTTATAACCATTATCCATTAACATAAAAATACCCCCAAAAAAACCAATATATTTGTTCTCTACTAGATCGAGATCATGGTAACATATATTGGTTGAGTAAGTATTGAGTGAATTGTGATTGCTGTTTCTAACAAAGCTTTTGATTGGTCAGATCATAATATCTTGTGGATTGTATTTTTTTTTTTTTTCTAGTTTAACCCCTCAACAACATTTTCTCTTAATTTCTCTTGAACACAGAATATCTGGCTTTGTCAACAATTCTAGTTTTGTATATTTATCGTCAAGGATTAAATCTAATACTGTACAGTGATTGCCCTTTCAAACATGCCTAGAGACCTTTAAGAAAATTTGATCATATGTCTCCAGTTGTAAGAAACATTCATTTGTTGCCAGTTGCCTCTCGAATTGATTTCAAAAGACTTTTTAAAGTGTTTAAAAACACTTAACAAACTTGCACCACCAGATCTTTATCAGAGAACACTTAATTCCATCCCAGAATTGATTCCTCTATGCCTCAAGTTGTGGATTAGTGTTTTTTTGAAAGTGAACGTTTGTATGTGCTGCACCTCGTCTGTGGAATTATGTTAGGATGCCAACAATTTAAAGAAACTTTGCTGTACGAGCACCTTTGAACATTTTGTTTGTGAATTTTGGAACCATATAAATTCCATGATAGATTAATTGACTGACTGACTGACTGACTGATGACTGATTGATTGATTGACTGCTTGACTACTTTATTTACTGACTGATTAATTGATTGTTTGAAAACCAACAAAGATATCACAAAATGTATTCAGAGTTATAATGTTGTTGGTTATATGCAGCCAGGCAAGTCTTGAGAGCATCGAATGATTACATTTCCTACAGGACTAGAACGATTAATGTAGGCCAAAATTGTAATATTTTACCTTATATCATGGAGCCTCTTTAGAAATATTGGTAGTACAGTATTATCTGAAGATTAATAATTTCATAACTTCTAATCTTCTCTATTATTAATTGTTTTTTTGGTTATATTTCTGTAGAGGATGAATCAATTCCAGAGTTCTCAATTGATCCAATTACAACAGAAGATGTGGAAGCAGTACTAAAACACACCAAGCCCTCTGCAAGGATGTTGCAGAAAAAGTACATGGAATGGCAGAAGGAATACGAGTCTGTGTAGAGGAAAGTGCCCTCCGGGAGGAAGCAGCCGAGGAGCATATGGAATGCAAAATGAATATGAGATTATATAGAGGTTCATATGTGTTATGAGCTTACCTAGAAAATCTCTAAGCCCTCTGCAAGAATGCAATCAGTGAATTATGAAACGACAGAATACTGGAGTATGTATAGATCCTCTTGAATATCAGCTTTTGTAGTATAACATGCCATCTCCTGTACCCCTGAGGAGTGTTCTGTATGTGTTGTGGTACAGGTAATGCACCTGTGCTTCGGACAAAGGTATTCGACACCACAACATCATACTAAGTATCAACATATATACTCTTTGTGGTTAGAAACAAATTTAAATAAAGTGCCTTGACCAAGGACACAAGTGAAATGGACTGTGTTCATTTTTTTTATATATTAAATGTAGCATTTTTTTTAATGCAATATGTATTTTATTTAGTGCAATTATGATTATAAATATGGGTGTAATGCACTGTATGTAGGCAGTTAAATTGAAGAATATATGCTGTCAATGTGGTCCAAAATTCACACCAAATATTTACCTAGATTTGTATTTGTTGTGTAATTTGAATGGATATATATATTTTTTGACTGTGGTACTTGCCTAAAGCCAGGATTAATCTAAATGTACAGAAGCCTATTTCCAAGGCTCAAGAAGAGAGATTAAAATTTGCAAGATTATTTCCATTATAATTAGAGGCAGTAAATCTGCATCTTTAATTATCATAATAGTTGCTACTGTACTGAACAATATCTGATAATGTAGTAACTATCATCATTTCATTTTAAAAAGAGGGCCCTGGATATCAGCCAACCTTCTAGGATACGCTGGAAGGGTCACCCTCTATAAATGTGGTTAAGAAAAAAAAAAGTTGGTTAAGAAAAAAAAAAGTTGCTATGTTAACAGTATATTGGCTATGTTCACACATACACACACACACACACACACACCAGCTAACGGTTAGCAGGATCCAGATGAATAACATACGCGCTCACACTTGTGTTCATACAAGAAAACGCCCAATACAGATATAAAAAAAGATGACCGTGGGATTACTGGCCAATGGGAAACTAGAAATTGGATATACATGTGATTGGTTAATGATAGAAATGCGCTCAACTTGCTAACCGATAGCGCTTGCTAACCGTTAGCATATCTAGATCCTGGTAACATTATCGTTATCGTTAACTGATGGGGCGTTCTTACATGGGTGCTAATGGTTATCTTCTGATCCGGATACTAGGGCTCTAGTGTGAACCTAACTACTGTTCTGTAAATTCTGCAACCAAGACTCCTTAAGAGACCAGAGTAACTGGGGTATTTTGGTGCCCTAATGGGGCCCAAGGAAGAACCTTGGTGGTAGTCACAGGGAAGTCTCTGCAGTTTGTGCATTCAAGCTGCATATATTATAAAAACCTCATCATTATATTGATGGTATTTCATTCAAGAAGAGGGGGATTGTTTAGTTTATTAGAGGGGCTTAAAAAGGGGGTGGGTTTGGCTGAACCATGGAAGCACCTAGTTAAAAGACTGATATTTATTTGTCTTTATTTTGTAGTCACTGTGTGCGCACAATTTTATGTTCAATATGGGCAAAATTAATAAATTATTCAATATCCCATATAATTTTAACAAATTTTTTGAATGAAGTATATAGCAAACAGCACGATTCGATCTATTATGTATAAATTTTAGATTAATACTAAAGTATTTGTGTACTGTTTCTGTAAATATATATATATTTATATGTAAATATACTGCCATAAGCATCATAAATATATATTATACTGAATTGAAATTAAGCAAAAGGAACAGACCAGTTTTATAGATGCAAATTGATATTTTGAATTTTAATGATTGTAATACTGTAATATGAATGGGTTAAATAAATAACAATTTACAAATTGAGATGAAAACAACACTCTACTGATTTTCCTTTTTTAAGTGTCGTTTTGTTAAACAAAACAAAAAATTGCGTTGCTCATGCTTAAATATAGGGTTGGCTTTTTTTCAACAAATTGTTTTTTCCTTGAAGAGTGAGAAACACTTGTATGATATTTGAAAATGGTAATTTTAATTGCTTAAATTCATTTGATATTTAACCATGGATTTCAAGCTCATCATTGGTTACAATTTTTATCAGACAAATGCCACTGGAGTGGAAGTGGGGGGGGGGGGGAGTCCAGATTATCAAATTTCTTTTTGGGGGGGGTAGTCCAGATTATCAAATTTCTTTTTGAATTGAATTGAATTTTATTCGGCACCATTAAAAATAGCAAAACATCAAACATTAAAAACTTTGACAAAAAAAACCCCCGTTGTATGCCCATATATAGTCATGATGTGCCTATATATGGTCATAATATGATGTCATCATGACCATATTTAGGCATGTCACATGTTTTTGTCAAATAAAGTTTGATAGTCTGAATAGGGCTTTAGTGTAAAAAGACATTCTGACCACCCTGCTCTGATTACTATAATAATAGCCATTGTGCTTGGACAACAACATTTGTTTGGCCTCTTCTTTCTGCAGCAGATCCGATCTTCTAGTGGTCTTTATGTTGTGTGTCGAATATCTGCAGCAATGCATGATCTAGAAGGGATGAAATATGAACATAGTTAAATGATATACTGTAGCAACAATAATAGTAGGAAGAACGTAGAACGTAATGACGTCGCATGAAGTCATTTGCGCATGCGAGAACGTTAAGTTTGACCGAATCTACGTTGTGCAGAGAACGCAATACGGTCACGCACTAGTGAATCCGTTCTAGCGTCGCATCATCGAACAAATCGAAAGCTCCGTAATAATATTGCACCTCATCAATGCAGAAAAAAAATACTGAAGGAGGTTCATATTACCTTATTGCGAACATTTTTCTATTATTCATTTTTCCTGAAATGCGTACATACTTTTTTCTCAAAATGTGCTTTATCACGCCACATTAACAATAATACTAATTTTAGACCCATTATATCGGAAAATGCCGGAGCTTCGATGTGCTTTAGAATTTGAAAATATAACATTACACAACTCGACAACCAGCTCAACTTCCACCCCTGTGCTTGATTTCATGGCCTCCATTACTCCTACACTTCCACCACCATTTTGATACTGTTCGTATCACACATTTCCCTTTACGACACAAGTAGATGCCACTCACATGCCAGATTCTGCAGGTCTTGACGTTCTTCCAGATTCTCTTGCAAGGCTTCCATCTGCTGGAGATACCGGAAAAGAGTGTCTCGTGGCCATAAAGTTTCAGTTGGTGTCCGTGACAGAATTTCTAGATTGTCATGAACCATTTTCTCCCAATCTGAAGTGACATTTATAACAATAAACTTCAACCAGTTATTTAAAGTGCTTCTTATAACGAAATGCGCATCATCATCATCATCATCCTGTACACGTCTGTATTCCACAGCCAACATGGGTATGCGTCTTTGTAAATCATATTTTATTTTTATTTTATTTTATTTTATTTCAGTCAGTGAGAGACAAAATATTTTTTTAAATATAAAGTGACTGCAGTGCCTGGGGTCTAGCCGATTCCAATTCTTTCTTTCAGAAATGCCACCTACCTAAACCAAAAACAAAAATATAGACAAAATAAATGCAATACTTTTTGTATTTTCCAAGTATTAATCAAATAGGGACTGCAATTAAATCGGCTGAGCGATGTACTCTGATAACGTACACTGTTGAGTTTTTTTTTTGTTTTTTTTTAATTATTATTTTGATTTATGTCACAATGTATGGTTAATCAAAAATAAGTCACAGGGAGGAAATACATGTGCATTGATTCTTATAACCTTATTTAAAGGCATATAATAATATTATTATTTGTTAGTCCAAAATTACACTAAAACGAAAACCTATTACTTTATTTAGGCCTATTAATTTTTAATTAATGAATTATTATTTCAATATTTTAACGAATGCTATATAAAACAAATAAATAAATAAATAAATAAACAAACAAAAAAACAGAAAAAAACAAAAAACAACCCCAAAACAGGTCTTTAATGGGGTGAGTAGCCTAATTGTCGGACTAGAGCTTAAAACTTACGAACACACTTTGATACATCTAAAAAGAAAGTCAAAAAAGACCACCGAGCACTGAGAGATTGAAAATGAATACGAACGGAATCGGAAGAAGAGCAACGACATGAATGGTATGTGAATTACAAATCAAAAAGCGTGAGAAGTGGAAAAAGTATTAACGAAAAATACTGAGAAAATACTGTATTATAATTAGTAAAATGTAAAGTTTCCAGGCCCGTATATCTAGTGGGGTGGTGCAAAGGGGGTGTTCGCACCCAACCAAATTTGATAAGGTCCACATCTCCAAGACAGTCGAGAATGTACTGAATATAGGCCGAAATTTGTGATTTTTCTGTGATTTAAAAATAAAATATTAAATGTTTACATTTTATATAGCAGGCCCTAATCTACTCAGTCCGTCGTGATTCGGAAAAAACGCAATATCCGTTTTTGAGATTTTGGCTTAGGGGCATTCTTTTGGATGTAATCTATCATGGGAAGTGATCATATACTCCAAACAATTTTAAGAAATATGAAACTATTATGAGTGTTTAGCATTATATCCGTCCATCAAAGCTTATTTTGCGTAATGTGCATATTGATATTCTTCGTGTTCTTGTTTTGTTGGTATTCTAATTAAAGATTTTCTGTAAAGTGAGGTAATTGTATTTCTAGGTATTTTTTCCCTGGCGAAACAATGGGTGTATTTTCACCTTTGTTGTCCTATAATTTTTATACCAATATGATCAATTGATTGTTAAACTCTCCAAGTATAAATATGGATGTTGTGAAATATATAATGTTAAAATGAATAATTTATGTTACGCAGATGATATAGTTCTTGTAGCGCCTTCCATTATTGCATGGCCGGCGGAAACGGGGCCGAGGGGGGCCCCCCCCCCCCCAACTCCCCCCCCCCCCCCCAATTTTTGGCAGAAAATATATAATGTCTGGAGATTTTTGTATGATCGGAAAGGAACGCAAGAAAAGAAAGAGGGAAGGAGGAGATGGAGGGAAAAGAGAGTGTTTATTCCGTCCCCGACCGAGTTACATTTTTTCTTGCAATTCGCATCGGTGGATCTGGTAGTCATGGGTCCTGACCTCCTCCCCCCCCCCACACCCCTTGGATTTGGAAAAATCCACATCCGAGAGATCTGTAAATGAGTTTTCTTATGACATCTAAATATATTTTGCTGTGCATTGTACAGTATACATAATCATTATGATTGACAGTAACTGCTGGGAGACAATTTATAATACAGTATAAAACTTGTAAAAGCATGCATATATCATCATGAATTTGCGGGAGATGTTTTATTTCGGAAGATTTGTGCTTGCTTGCGGACCAGAATGCGTTCTTCATGCCAATTTCCAGGAGACTCCATTCCGGGACTCTACAGGAGACTTGGGACTCATGGGCACTAAATGTGGTCTTTAGATTTCTCTATTTAGATGGAAATTGAAAAATAATACGTTAAATGTTTTAAAATGGTTGTACAGTAACTGCATGCTCTTATTTATTCTTAAATAAACATTTCTTGGTAGCCAGACATCAACTTGTCTTCCCATTAGAGTATTACTAACATTGCCACTAACATTATCGTCATTCAATATACAAAACACTACACAAACAGTGCATAGGCTAATATTGCTATGTGTAAGTCATATATAACATGATAATTTATTGTATAAAAAAACTGCATTAAAATCACTATTTATTTTATAGTGGTCTGTACATGGAGGAGAAAGTATCAATTGGGTCCACCAAACCCATGGTCTCTAAATAGAGGGAATCTTTAATTGGAGGGAACAGCTAATGATAAAAGATAGCCATTAAACGGGGGGGGGGGGGGAGTCGCAGAAATGTGGTTTTTAATTGGAGCCATGGTCTTCAGCGGCGTCGCTAGGTGCGAAAGGGCCCTGGTGCAGGATTGATTGCCGATGTGATACAGGAAATTTCCTAAAGTTGTCAGAAATTTCATAGTAAAAATTGCTTATTTTACTCCCTACTTCTAAAGGCCTAGGCTATAGTGGTAGGCCTAATAAATACCAATGATAATCGCTCGTAACCATTTTAGGGCATTTGGTCTCAGCAGCTGTTAAACTAAATCAAGAAAATTGGTGGCACACAAAATTTTAAAATTGCAATGGCCGGGTCAGGGAATAAGGTGGGGGTGAAGGCCACTCAGTGATTATAGCACCTCTAGATGGCCGGAAATGGCACTCTCAGACTTAAATTTTAATATAATTCCCCCTTTTCCCCATTTTTGCTCCCCGCCCCCTTTTCAGGGAGAAAAACTACAATTCGTCGGAGAAAAAAAATGTATGTGTATATCTTACATACCTATTAGTAGCCCCCAAAACTGATTAAAAAAGCTGTCGAAACCCCTAAATTGTCATTTTCGATAAACATTATCGAGAGATTTCGAGGGATGCCCAACCACGCCCACTTTTTTCGTAGGGGACATCGCCCCAACCCCGGTTCGGGGACGCTGGGCAAATCCCCACCACTGCGCGTGCAATATGGCCGTGTGTAATATAGCTCATGTGCACTACACTCTTCGGAAAAGCGTAGGGTATTGTCTCGGGTGTATTGCTCAATCACAACCAAAAGGACACACAGGATATGTCTTCTTCAGACTTTCATAGGATACGGTATCCTTGCTGTTTATACCGAATAAAGCCATCCATCCATCCAATTAAAATTTAAACCCTGAAATTAAAAGTGAAGACATTAATTTTTTTAAATTACGCATTTGCTGAGGAGCCATTTTTTTCAACCATGGTGAAAAAAATGTGTAGCACACAACCATTCTTATTAAAGTGGCCGTCCACGTAGGCCTACTTGCAAAATGCTTCCGACGGCTATGAATTTCCCGCCATCTAGGAATCGAAAATTTCCCGGGGGAGAAACCCCGTGACCCCCTTTCTTATTGGGACTTATCGATTCATCGAAAAAAGAATACGTCTGTAATTACTGATTTTTTTTTATGTAGCCCTATATATACACAAGGTAATTCAACAAAAGGACGGTACGCACATCTCGGGACATCAAAGGTTATAACTCTGGCATCGACATTCTAGGCGCACGTGCGTCTCTACACG